GTACATTGTGACTCTAAAGGAAATAAAAAATGATTTCCCACATTTTTCCATAGTGGAATTATGGGATTCTTTTTGTTTCTAAAGCTTCTAGTAGGAGTAGTTTTCCAAAGAATGAAATTTGGGGAAAATTTTCTTAGCTTTTAGTGAAAATAACTGTAGGGTTAAATATTGAGTTAATTGTTGTTCTAAATATACAAATTCAACTGATGCAAGTCTCTTTCTTTTTTTAAGCAAAAAAAAAAAAAAAGCTTTGTAAATAATTATGAAAATTATCTTCAGGGAAATAGATTAGCGTTATACAATGTTTAGAAGCATACCAGGTTGCCAAGATAAAAGTATAATAGCTACTTGAAAGAATTTTTAAATTGTAAAGTATTTTTGACCACAAATCTTTAAAAAATTATTGTGGACTTTTATTGAACATCCTCCTCACATCATCTTAGTTAACATCTGATACATAATCTTTTGACAGCTTGGCCAGTTCCTTTTCTACTCATGTCTGAATATCAGAATGCCTCCTGTGGGGTCTTACATGCCAGCATGAGGTCGTGGGTCTGCCCTAATAGCAGGATCACCACAAGCAACTTGACCTCTCTAAGCTTTGGTTTCTTTATAATTAAAATAGAAAGAAAATAGCTCATATATTTCAATGTGATGATAAATTGAACAGACCTGGCATAAAGCCTGATACACCGTAACCATAAAGCATGCACATGCAATTCTGGAGCACGTTGGAGAAAGTAAGACGGAATCTGCTAGAAGATTCTAGCTCAGATCATGCCCATTTTCTTTCAGTTGCCCATAGCTTCCTGGCTTGGAAAACATCCCTAAAGCTCATCTCCCCTTCTCCCCACATTCATCACCCCTTCTCCCCACATTATCATTCCCAAACAGAGAAACTAGATAGGGATGGAATTATGTATTAGAGCTGTGGCTTGCTCAACTTTGCCTAACCTTGTGCTCCTCATGCAACTGACTGCACTGAAGGATGGTCCCACCTGCCGGAGGGCGTGAGTGATGGAGCAGTTACTTTGGTAACAGAGATGTGCCCTGTGTGAAATTTAGTTAAACTCCTTACTACACGCTCTCATTACATCCTTGTACTTTTTTCATAAAATTCGTCATGCCCAGCATTATGTATTTAATTTCTGCTTTCCACTCTGACCCATCAGCTCAGTACCAGTGGGCACTGTGCCTCTCTTGGGGGTAATGAGATCCCCACCATCTAACGTGGTGACCAACACCCAGAGGGAGCTCCATCAGTATTTGTGCTACTGAATGCCACTGGGTACATTTTGCTGGTGTGGCAAAGCAGGGCTTTGATCCCTTCTGAATCAGGGGTTTGCAGCCCCTCAAGAACCCAGAATAACTACACCCTCAGAAATCAAACCAAACTAAAACCAAAACAAACTCACACTTCTAAGAAAGAAGCTTCCAGGGCAGGTTTTGAGGCAAAAAAAAAAAAAAAAAAAAAAAGAAGGAAGAAAAAAGAAAAAGAAAGTTGAGTAAGTTTATGATTTATGTTTAGGATTGCCCCATACAAAACAGAAAAAAAAAGATTTGTCTGGCTGGAGGTGGGGCCTATTTTGATCCTCTGCGCAGAGGGAGAGGGGAGAGAAGGGAGCAACGTCGGACAAGACAAAATGAGAAGTAGAAGTCGCAGGAGGGAGCAAACCGCAGAAGGCAGCCGCTGGGTCAGCGCAGCTGGTCAGACCCAGAAGAGGTCTGGCAGTGGAGAGGGGACCTGGGAACAGACAGAGAAGTCAATGGCACCGTGCTCCAGGAAAGATGGTCATCTGCTTCTCAAGCCTCAAGGCATTTCAGAGGACAGGCAGCAAACAGTTGTAGGTGGACCGTGCCAAGCTGTGGGAGTCCCCCCAGCCACAGCACCCCATCCCCGTGTCCACAGCCAAGCGTGCCTGAGAGCTGAGGATGAGCGCTGGTGTTCGCTGTATCTTCATCCTTCTAAAAAAAGATGATTGGAGCATAAACATCTAGTACAGTTCAGTCTGGAAAAAATCTCTTATCAAGAACAGCTCTTACCCTGATTCCAGAAACTCAAAATTCTTACCATCTCTTTCTCTACTTTTTGTGGAAACCTGCCATTAATCTGCAAGGTCCCCAGCGAGTTCCTGGTTTCCTGGGATGCTCGTTTACAAAGTTTCCTTAAATGCATTCCTCGGTCTGCAGAAGTAGCAATGGTTTCTGTAACTAATTTAGACTTTAGAAAATAAATAAGTGGAACTCATATTTTCTTCTTTCTAGCTCACTGTTCTTTCAGGTACTGTCTTATTTGCTTGAGATGTGGAAGCAAATGATAAACTGACGGGAACATTTTTTTTGTTTTTCTGAGAAGAGCATAGTGTTGTTCTAGATGAGAACCATGTCAACCTCCAGAATACTCTTTAGAAACATGAACCATAATTTTTGTTCAGACCAACAAAGATTATAACCCCGGAAACGAAACTATTAAGGGTCTTCATGATAAAACTGTTAGCAAGTAGACAGAGGAGGCTGTTTCTTTTTGCCAATACTACCCTCTAGTGGAAAATGGGCAACAGAAAAGAGCCTGTACGGAGAGTGCAACTGCTCCTTCCTTTGCTGCGTAACAGAGCATTTGCACAGCAGATTACTGTCTACTTTTCTTCAGCCATCCCTAGAGCATAAATATAAGGAGCTATTGATTATGCCTGTTGGCATCACATTTCAATAAATTTGCTCATCTGAAATCATGCATTGTGCAAGAACGTCTGAGCTATGATAAAAGATTGCAACTCCAAAATATGTACAATGTACTTTAGAGAGAAGGCTCCCACAGTAGCGGCATTGGTTTATTCTTGGTCCTGCCAGTGGCAAGCGAAGGAAAGGAGGAGAAGAAACAGTCCTGTGAGCCCTCTGTTATTACTTAGGTTTGTGTCTAATCAGTCTGTGAGGCCTGATTATAGAAAACAACCACTACGCATGCAGTTAGAATGTGACTCTAGTGAATACTTTGGTAGGGGTAAAGGGGTGGGGCACTGTACTGAGTACTGTTAGCAACTTTATGACAACTAGAAGATCACATGCCTTTTTTTTTTCTCTGAAGAATCAAAGTACCCAAAATATCTTATACCAATAAGGTTGTAAGTATCTTTTGAGATGAGAAAGAAAAAGCAGAAGAAAGAAGAGGAGGAGGAGAACATTTATCAGGACAGATTGAGTTTGCGTGACCTTGGGAACTTGAGTACAGAAAAATTCCAGTGTTGGGTCCCTTCTTTTCTGACCTTCAGAAGTTACAACTTTGGGTGCAAAAGGATTTCCACCCCTTTAGTTACAAGATTCACTCATTAAATTAATTGGTGCTCTTGAAAAGAGCAGGAGAAAAGTGTGCGTGCAAATGTTTTATATATGTACCCCCTGCCTGAAACCTCAAGATCAGTACCATCCACCACCCTCATTATCGAGGATGGTGCTTTCAATGTCTTGTACTTGTTCAGATTCTAAAGGTCGTAATTTATAAAAGAAGCTTTTTCATTTTTTGTTCACAGAAGGTTATGAAGACTGTATGTCAAAACCCAGGAAATGGAATTTTTACTTTTTAGTTTTGCTTACACTTAAAGATCTCTTATTTTTCATTAAAGTTTGCAGATTTTCTCATATTTACAACTTAGAAGTCAACTTTATTGTGAATATAAAAGCAAATGCTGTTTGATTGTAACAGATAATTATCCTGACCTCTTTGCAAAAAGAGGTGTTTATATTCAGTTAATTAGTGGGTTTCCAATTTACATTGTACGGGGAAATTGTTGTATCAGAGCAGATATTAAAAACTGTGTAGAATAATTTTCTTCTTTTGTTTTTAATAACAAGTGAGAAAAAGATGACCTGGGGAGTAAGATAATTAACACATTCAGCTTTAAGCTCAAATGTGTCTGACCCAAAGTACCCAAAACAATGCAGGGTGTAGTGATTATTTTAAAAACAAGTAAATTTAAGAAATATAGATCTGCCATGGTAGGAAGCATTATTTTGAGGAAAAACTAAAATGCGGTTCTCTATAAAACATAAAATGGTTGGGGAAAAAATGGTCTTGCTCTCAAAGGACCAGATTTATTAATTTGACTCTGTCAAATAACTAGATTAATTTAGGCAGAGTCACGACTATCTGCTGAATCAGTGTCTTTGCCTGTCAAATGGCAAGTAAGTGACATGAGGTGAAGACCATCATTTTCCTGAGTGACCTCAGTAGACCCAGTGCCTAGCACTGAGTCATAGAAATGGGGAGAACTTGATAATTATTTGTTTAAAGAGTGATACTACATAAATAACAATGCACTTATATCACTGAGTGGTAAAAATAAAATAGATGCCTATAAATTAACTTGAAAACCTCCTGCAATAAATCACCATTGTTTTCTATCAGAACATCTAATTCTATGTGTCATTCTTGTAGTGTGCTATAGAGAAAACATTCTTGAACCATTTTATGTTTGTGAAAATGTAAGATGGCATCAAAGCCTGTTTCATAGTTTGCATTTGAAATGCGCTAATCATCCCATTATGCTAAGTACATCCAGAATTTTCAGTGGCAACAGAAACATTAGTGGGCTTTTTTTTTTTTTTTTTTTTTTTTGAAAAGGAACAGCAGCACAAGAAGGCACTATCCTTGACACCTGTGTCATAGAATGGCCCTTTTTAGTGAAGTTGCCCATCCCTGTTTCCAGAGTTCAGAGCCACCTCATACCACTGGAACTACCTCCTGGGAAAATTGCGAGCATCTTTCCCATGTCCAGAGGCATAATTTCAGACCATTTGATGGAGTGGCATGCTATTTCACGCGTGAATATTGATTGGATAGTTCTGCCAGCTTCCTTCGGGCCATGGCTCTGCAGTAAGAATCATGGGTGGAAGGTTGATGGTGACAAATAGGTTGTGTGATAGGAAGAGAGGGAGCCAGACTCATAACTGTGCCCCCAACCCGCTGTTACCAGCAGCTCTAAATTCTCCATTGTGTTTTCCAGGATATGAATGATTATCCACCTGTATTTAGTAAACGGATCTACAAGGGGATGGTGGCTCCAGACGCCGTCAAGGGCACACCCATCACGACCGTTTATGCTGAAGATGCAGACCCCCCTGTAAGTAAGGGATAGGGTTGGATACTTGGGAGCCTAGCAGAGAGGACCTTGCACGGTCACACAGGACACACTTTCTGGGCAGCACGTTCGGACAGTCTGAGTCCACTCTGTCCTCCCCAGTCATTTCATGTGTGTTCGCCTGTAGCACCCATGGGGACACACACACTTCACACAATTATTATTGAACACAGTTAAGCAGATGCCTTCTATGTTGCTGGAATTCAGAATTTGCTATTCACCAATGTATCCCACATGAATAATAAATAGAGCTGGAAAAGTTCTCTGTGTTCAGAGTCAGTATCATTTGGGCTCTTTATTTAGGACAGTGTAAGATTAATTTAATTGGTTTAGGTTTCATCTTTAAGAGTTTTCCCTTTTAGTCACATATTACTATCAATGGATGACATAATAGTTATATTGAATGTGTTAATTTTGGTAATTTTGGTAAATAGTAATATGGTGTTTAGAACATATTTAATGCAGTCTTTATTATCCAGAATTTTACCTCTTTTGAGATATTCCAGATTGCCTTCCAAAATAGAGGGTTTTCTTTACAGCAGAAGCGAGGTAAATTTTCCTTAGTGTTATTATGTTGATGAGTGAAAAGTAGCATGTAGAAAAAATAGTACCTATATAAAATGCTTTGTATAAATAATGTGAGCACTTTATAAATATTAATTAATCTCTTAATAGCCAAATAATGAAGATCTAGATGTTTTACTTTTGAGTGAGCTTCCACCATTAGTCAGGGGCTGATATACTCTACAAAAATAAAAGAAATATTAAATAAGACATTTTAGAAAAACAAGAAAATAGAGAAAGACCCGAATTTTATAAGTGATCTAGGAGTTCTGTTTCATATTGCTAATATAAATAGTATTTGTGTAATGCCGTTTATTTAATAAAAGGTGAATGACTGTCAGAACATTTTTCACCTTCAACTGTGACAGGTCATATGCAGTCTTTTGTGATGATAAGGTCTTGAAAAATAATAATGTTAACATGAAAGTAGTAACCTTTCCGTCAGACGCTCCTTTTCTCTAGTGTGTTAAAATGTCTTTGAAACTGTTTTATTGCATTCTGGGAAATGTGATAGGCAAAATTTTGTAGATTTGGACACACTAGTCAATATGGTGAATATGAAATTGGTGCTATATCTGCTTTTAATAGAAACTGTCAGAAAATATATATATATATAAACTGCCAGAGGTAGAAACTACTTTGAAATGAAGAGTACACTTTCAGTTCTCTTGAAGGCATGTGTTTTGAACATCAAGTCTATACTGATTATTGTGCTAACCAGTTTTTGCTCTCCAGACTGGAGAATCTTCTAGGAAAAACAGAACTGCTCATAGGAATTAAAACACACTCTACTAAATGAGTATAAACAAGCCCAGCATCTTAAAATACTCATATATCTTTCTCTTTTTTAAAGATTTATTTATTTAAGAAAGAGTGTGAGTGGGGTCAGGGACAGAGGGAGAGAAGCAGACTTCCCCGCTGACTTGGGGATCCCAACGCAAGGCTCCATCCAATCCCAGGATTCGGACCCTGAGATCATGACATGGGCCTTAATCAGGAGTCAGATGTGTAACAAACTGATCCACGCAGGCACCCCCAAATATTTGTATTTCTAAGACATTTATATTAGCACAGAATGGAAGGTAGTGTTAAGATTAATGGTATTAATGATAAGAGACTAAATGTAGGTATGCTGATCCCCTATGTGCCACATACCCCAGGTGTGGGTACGGATGCCAAAATCCTCACTTTCCTTTTGGCACCTGCCACCTTGGTACCTGGCTGAACCTTCAGATCACCCCACCGATGTGAGAGAAGTTGTCTCGGTCTGTTGTCTGTTCCATAAAGAAATACTATTATTTATGTAAAATATCTAGAGAGAGGCCCTCAACTTGTGGTGAGATAAATGTTTACAATAGTTTAATAGGGAAATTAGATTTTGTTACTCATTTTTTTATTCCCTTAAATGGGTTTGAAGATTAAGATCTTACTCCCCTCAAGGGCAGATAGCACATTTTTGGGTAGTCCAGGCTTTGAGTCTCATTTACCACCTCTGGATCTTTCCTTTTTTACAGCCTGACATGTATGGAAATTTATGGAAATTTACCAGTTTCAAATTCCATATTTCTGTTAAGAAGTTCTTAGGTTTGTATCCCCAGTAGTAGTTTCTCACATTTAACATCTAATGCTGGCTTTTCAGTAGATGAAAGACAGATGATAGTCATTCAGTGGAAATACTGAGCATACTTATTTCAGTTAGGGAGTGTGTATTTTGTCAGACTCAGTTTTTTAAGTTTTTTATTCTAATTTCAGTGTGGTTAACATACAGTGTAGGAATAGTTTCAGGTGTACAATATAGTGATTCAACACTTCTGTACATTACTCCTTGCTCATCGTGACAAGTGAGCTCCTGAATCCCCCTCACCTATTCCCCCCTCCACCTCTCTTCTGGTAACCATCAGCGTTCTCTGTAGCTAAGAGTCTGTTTCTTGGTCTCTCTCTCTCTCTCTCTCTTTCCTTTGTTTGTTTCTTTTGTTTCTTAAATCCCATGTATGAGTGAAACCATATGGCATTTGTCTTTCTCTGACTGACTTATTTTGCTTAGCATTATATTCTCTAGCTCCATCCATGTTGATGCAGATGGTGAGATCTCATTCTTTTTTATGGCTCAGTAATATTCCATTGTGTACATATACCACATGTTCTTTATCCACTCATGTGATGATGGATTTTGGAACACTTCTATAATTTGGCTACTGTAAATAACGTGGCTATAAACATAGGGGTGCATGTATCCTTCTGGATTAATGTTTTTGTATTTTTTGAGTAAATACCCAGTAGTGTAAGTCCTGGATTGCAGGGTAGTTTTATTTTCAATTTTTTGAGGAACCTCCATACTGTTTCCCATACTGGCTGCACCAGCTTGCATCCCTACCAACAGTGCACGAGGGTTCCCCTTTCTCCGCATCCCTGCCAACACCTGGTCTTTCTTGTGTTATTGATTTTATTCTTTCTGACATGTTCTCAGGCTCAGTGCTGATACTTGACACACCAGCAATCTTCTGCATAACCAGTGTTCAGCACTGAGTTTTCCAGTGATTGCTGGCAAGCTGGATCCCTTAAGTTAACATAGTTGCAACTGGGCTACACCTACACCAATCATAAATAAAAGCTCGATTCCTTGAAAATATTCAGAACATAAATTTCACATTACACAACTTTCAAAAGTATTATGACTGATTTTTACTTGTATAATTTTATGTCAGTGCCATAAATCCAGAATATGTATTTTTTTGAATGAGGTTACTGAGTATTTTCTACTTTGTTGCTATTATAAGCATTCCATAATTAGAAGATACCGTTCAGGGCTCCCATGTGTAAGTATCTTTGGAAACACTTTGTGTATTTAATGGTCTCTTTTCCAAACTAGAAAGGAAGGTTCTCGAGGACAAGAATCAAAGCTTAACTCCAGTTTGCATGTCCACATCCAACGCTATGCTTGAGACTTTGCAGTCTCTTAGGAAACATTCATTAGATAATTGAATAAATGAATAAATTAACAGTGATTTCTATACTCTCCAGAACTGACAAAGTACGCCAGATATTCAGAAATTGTGTGATTTGTGACAATGGGAAAACTTGGGTGTCTCTAGTTTGGCCATCGAGGGCTGTGCAGATAGAGCGGGTGGTGCATGTGCAAGACAGAGCAGACTGATGTGTCCGCAAGGTGGAGAAAGGCTTCTTCACCCTCCTAGCCTGGGCATGGCCACAACTCAGCAGTAATAACGTTCGCCTCAAGAAACTGGCCACCTCCTTTTCAAGACATTGTGTTTCCTCTAAATGAAGGGAGAACCACCTACTTTTAACCCAGAAAGTAGCAAAACAAAATCCTTTGAAGTATCAGATGGATAACCTGGATAAAGTCTTAAAGCCAAAGAGAACACCGTTGCTGAATATAAATGAAGAATTATAAAATGCATGTTTTACAAAACTGAAGTGCTCTAGACAGGGGTTGGTGGGGGAAACAACCTCCCAGGGACTTGTTTTTTTCCCACTGAATTAAAGTTGTTAGGACTTTATTTTTTGCCTTGCTTTTGTGACAGCGTTGGCATTAAGGAGTTCACAGAGATGTGAATAGGTAATGACTGATCATTTTGGATATTAAAAATCACTAACCTTTCTTTCTGCTCACCAGAGACCTCTCAATCCAACTTTCACAAAACAAAACTGCAAGTGTAATTTCCATTTGCATATTTTATTCTTCCAGAAGCTGCAGGCCAAACCCCGAAATACAAGAGTTCTGTTTGTGGGCAGGGCAAGCGCCTGACAGAACGGGACCCCTTGTGAGAATGTAGATGCAGAAAAGTTGGCATAAATAAATGAAGTTTACATTTTGCTCATTTCCAAGAAAGTATGAGGAATCCATGGGAGATCCCTTTCCTCATGGTTATATAATTCTTTCCACTTAATGCATTTTAGGAAGTTATAGGATTCTCATTTAAAGTCAAGTAGTAGTTGGAACATGTTCAATATTAGCAATTGTCACACTCTTGTTTGCATATATTAGTGTATTATTGACATGGAAGACTTCTTTTTTTTGGGATTTTGATATTCACTTATGAAATACATATGCTCCCTAAAAGAGATCTTGCAAGTTCTCAATAGTAATTGGCTTTAAAAATCAGTTAAGTATTCTCATTATATTTTTTTTCAGAAATAATTTTTATAAAAGGCCAATAATTACAAGTGTGGGTTACTTTTGCCTCTGCTGAGATTTTGAGAGCTATACTAGCCACTCAGTTTAAACAAGCTGCCTGAAGAATTATTTCTAAAGTGTTTTCACAAGTGGCTTTAACATACTTCTCAATCATTCAAGTTTCATTGGTCTCTAAGAGAGTAAAAAAAAAGGTTAGTCAGGTTTTTTTTCCTATGACGCATACCTGATGTTTTATTAAATTGATGTGACGTCACCAAATAAG